TGCTTTTAGCATATGACCTCACGAAAGTGTGGCAAGGTGGAATCACTACATAGTGGAGATTGCCTTTTGTCTACATTAAAGCTTTTACCTTAAGCTCTGTCTGAAAATCGTCCACCACAAATCCTAGGCTGAGTTACGTTACCAAGAATTTGGGCATTTTAAAAAAAGAAACAACTTAATAATGATAAAGGAGTGTCTTAATTCATCCTAAAATAAATTCTAGGTAGCTATTTGGAAGGCTATGAATCTTGTAAATGGAGAACTTGTGCACTGAACTGCATTAGGATGATTAAAATTTAACATACAACAATACGCACAGTGTATTGGATGCGCTCAAAACATTTTTGACCAAATTAAGAGCTATGAATTTCTGTTGTTTGGCAGAATGATGTTATATATCTTTGTATTAATTTTTCTTAGTTGAGTAAGTATATGTATTACATAAAATACAAGATGTTCTATTTAGTTCTCATGTTACATTCTAGCTGTATTTCCAGAAGAATTGGGAACAAGCGTTCCTTTAACAGATGATGAACGTAGAACGCTGCTCTACAAACCTCTGGATGGAGAGTGGGGTTCCAGGACCCGAGATGAAGAGTGCGACAGAATTATTGCAGGGATACACCAACTCATGACTCTAGGTAAATGCTGACTAATACGGGAAACATTCTTGTGTTAAATTTTGCAGACTGTGCTGATATATACTTTCCAATATACCAAAATCAGTGACTGTTTACGCTGTGAAAAATACACCTTTTGCCTCGGCTAACCGAAAAAGAAATTTCTCCATGTGAATTTTTTTCATGGTACAAGTACATGTAAAAGCTAAATTGTATCCTGTTTTCAAAGGTAACTGTTTTTTTGATAGATAATGTTGACGTATGCAAGGGGTTTGGTTTCTATATGCTAAAAACAGGTGCTTTGGCCGGGGGGGGGCAGGAGGGGGCGTGAGGGAAGGGGAGGGGAGGGTTGGGTTGAATTTGGCTACCAGAATCACTTGATTAGGGTTACAATTGGTTAGGGTTAAAATTATCAGACTTACGATGAGCAGAACGTTAGCTATATTCCAAGCAGAAAGAAGAATGTTATGTACTTGCCTACAGAATGGATACCTGTGTGTAGATTTCGCCTTTATTAACCTTTTTTATTTTCCTTTCCTCCTCCCCCTTCGTCCCCTTACTTACATCTGGAAAACAGGAGAGGCTTGTTAAAGCAAGATATTGAGGATAAAGTAATTGATTAACTTATGAAAAGCTACTTGCTAGTTGGTTTTAGAGCAATTACTCTTTACAGGCAACTTTTGAAAAAATAAATGTCCAAGTTGTGTTAAATTAACAGTTACATGATCAAAGAGGAGATATGTCAGATGGAGATCTATTAGTGAAATATAGGCAGAATCACAATGCTGTTCTATGTTTTGTGATGTGTACTGTTCAACAGCAGTTTTTGGGGTAGCAGTGGTCATTAAATATGTAAATTATCACAGATTAAATGTTTTAACTGAATCTGAAGTACTTGAAGAAAGGTAAGACACTTAAGAGTCAAAAAATAACCTAGAAAATTCCCAGTCCTGAAATACTTCTAATATCTAAATAAGCTACATTATGTTTTCTTTGGTGACGTGTTGCATAAAAACCTCCTTTTCGCTTCTGAAAGAAAGGAAATAGCTATACAATACATTAATCTGAGTTACAGAATTATACAAAAACATGTAAGGAAGTGAGATTTTAGTTGTTTTCACTGTGTATACCGTCTAGCAGTAATGGTTTTTTATTTTGCATTATGTCGTGTGCCATACCATTTAATTTGGAATTTAACTGTAATGTATGCGGTGCCTGTCTATACAAAGTGCCAGTTGTTAGAACATGCGTAAGAGTAAGTTAAAAGTTTTTAACAGAAGAACAGTTTGTTTAGCAGCAACAACATCTTCTGTTTTTAAAGACTTGAGAGAGACTTTTAATTGTTGTTGTATGACTGCATTTTCCCTTGAGATAGCAGAAGTTAGAGTGATGTGTCTAAGCACATGTGATGCTTCTAACCATAGGAGGAAAAAAGAATTTTGTGTAGGTGCACAGACTTAAATTACTCTGAAGTCTTTTGGGTGCACTCAGTGGATTATAGTCGATTGGCTTGGGAAGGCTGCTTTGTTTTTTGGTGAGGACAGGAGGCTGTTTCTGTTTTATTTTGCATATTTTTTTTTTCCTCCATATCTTAATGAGATTGAAATAGGACTGTAACTTTTATGATAAGAATTTAATGAATTACTTTGTTTGAAATTGAGGGGATAGCAATATAAAACCAAATGAAATTAGTCTGCCTTGTAAGTAACAGTATATTGAATTGCAAATGTTAATCTGTATAATTTATGCATTTGAATCTACTATAAAATGTGCATATTTTTTCCATGCACCTCGCATGTCTGAGGAGCATGGTGCTTCATGCACAGCAGGCTGGCTAATTGCTACAGTGATTATACTTACAGTATACACCTCAGCAAGCACTTTCAAATGTAAAATACTACAAAGAGACTATGCAGAATTGTCATTGATTTTTTGAGGGTAATTGCTGTGTGCTTCAAACATGAAGAAATACCACGTTGCAAGGGAAAAAAACATCTTAAAACTGCTGAAGGACTGGTTTTATGTATATAACTGATTTTTCTTTTCTCTCTAGATATTGCTTCTGCATTTGTGGCACCTGTGGATCTTCAGGCTTACCCAATGTATTGCACAGTTGTGGCATATCCCACAGATCTCAGTACCATTAAACAAAGACTGGAAAGCAGATTTTACAGGTTAGATCCAAGTCTCAGTTACATCTGCGAAATACTATCAACCATGTTTTCAACAGCTGTTTGTCGTGTAGTACCTGGCTAGGAGATCGGTACAGATGTGCTCTTTCCATTTGTCTCACCTTCTATCCTTGATCTAGGTTTCCGTTTTATAAAACATGAACAAGGATTGAAAATCTCTTCTGCAAAATGCTTTTTAGAATAATGTGATATTCAAGTTCCTGTTTATACAAATGACTAGCCCTGTGTGAGATTCAAATTGCAGGACCAGAGACTAGGTCAGTAAAATGATTTTAGGAAAAAGAATTAAGTTTCTGCTTAATTATTTTTAAAGATTTAAAATTTAGTAAGACAAAACTTTAGACAAATATAAAATGTTACTGACCTCCTGTACTTCTAAAAAATCTTCCATTCCCCCTTTAAGAAAGTGCACAGAAAATAGAACTACTGAAATTGTTGGCCTTGACGTTCTGAATTGTGTGTTATTTGACGGGATAGTAACAAGAAATAACTGTTTTTACTTGTTGACAAAGTTTTGACCTTTTCCAAAACTGTGATTGCAGTCACTGACTTTTTTTTTTTCAATTATTTATTTATTTAGTAGTCAGTATTATCCAAGTTGGAGCATGTTCCTTTAAAATGCTTGTTTGCTTTTGGTTCTTGGAAAATCTCTAATTTTAAAACTATTTTCCCTCTAACGTTTGCATTGAGTACATGTGGATAGCATGTTGCTTTGGGTTTGAAAGTTGATTTGTAGTACTTTTTGTATACTAAGAACTGAAGGATAGCATCCTAAAACAAACTTACTTTTTCAGTTTCAAAAAGCCCTGGCTTTTATACATTATAGGGCTATAGTGTGCATGTATTGTTCCGTGTTAGCTCTGTGATACGAGATAATCCAGATTTAGCTTTCATAATGTACTGTTTTGTTGTCAGAGGTGGCAAGGAATTTTTAATCCCTCTTTTATTTCTTTGGTCAAAAGTAGAAGCAGTTATTTTTGGTGATCAGCATACCTCCTTTAGAAAGCCAGTTTTTACTAGCTTTATAGTATTGCCAAAGCTGGTAGGTCATAGGAGAATTTTATTCTGCCATGTATTCTGCTTTCCAGTAAAAATTTTTTCTTTACGTTCGGCAGGAGGGACTGTTCATACCACATGTGATGCCTTTGGTAGCTTTTCATAAGGCTTATCTTAGATCATGTTCTTCCCCTTAAGAAACAGGAGACTTAGCATACCTCTATGTAAATAAAAACCAAACTAGCAAACGAGTCTGGGGCCAAACTCTTCTCCGTGGTGCCCAGCGATAGGACGAGAGGCAACGGGCACAACCTGAAACACAAGAAATTCCGTCTGAACCTGAGGAAAAACTTCTTTCCTGTGAGGGTGACAGAGCACTGGAACAGGTTGCCCAGAGAGGTGGTGGAGTCTCCTTCGCTGGAGATATTCAAAAGCTGTCTGGACAGGGTCCTGGGCAACATGCTCTAGGTGACTCTGCTTGAGCAGGACGGGTTGGCCTAGGTGATCTCCAGAGGTCTCTTCCAACCTCAACTGTTCGGTGATTCGGTGAACAAACAGAAAACATCCTTCTCTCCTCGTCAATTCTGGCATATTACAGAACTAAATGTTGGACCAGCAAGCGCAATTAAATTGCATCTAAATGGTTATGGTACATTAAACATGTTAAATCGTTCCCCACTTCACTCTACCCTTTAAAAACAAATTGGGCAGCATTTTCTTTGTTTCATTGCGTTTTGCTAGTATAAAAGTGGAAGATTGTATATATTTGTAGCTTCTATGCTGTTCGAGATTTTCTAGGAAATAATGTTTTTTTTAATTGCATCTTTTTAGATTCTAATTTAATTTTTTCACTTATTTTTGAATGTGCCACTTTTTTCATAATGTTTGTTGCCATTCTGTAGTTAGGTCATTAAATCAGAGCTATGTAAAGGGTGAGGGAGAATTCTAATCATTGTCCACCTGTCAGCAAAAAATGCATAATTTTAGTACATATGTAGTACTATATTTCAGTCCTCAACTGTGACTTAAGAGGTGATTTATGCTGGGTTATGAATATCATAAAGGGATAATAAAAGCTAAAGACTTGCCAGTTAAATTTTCCCAAGAAGCGTAAGCTGTGTATTTTTAAAGCTATTTGCGTATTTATCACAGGACATACATGAGAGCGGGAAGCCTGAGGAAGCTGCCTGCTGCTGATTGTGTAGGGCCATTTACCTAAGAGTGTATTTTCTGATCTAATATAGAAAGATCATGAATGGGACAGTGCATTAGAGGAATTATGTAAGACCTTTTCTCTGATTTCATACACATTGTTAAAAATGTCTGTTTGAAACTAGTTTTCCCCCCCCCCCCCTTCTTCCCTCCTTTCATACACAGGCGACTTTCTTCATTAATGTGGGAGGTCCGATATATAGAACATAATACTCGCACATTTAATGAACCTGGAAGTCCTATTGTCAAATCTGCCAAGTTTGTCACGGATCTTCTGCTACATTTCATAAAGTGAGTTGCTTAGTAGCTCTGATGGTTTTCCCATTGCTTACCAAGGTATTTAGCTTTTTGAAATCTTAATTTTAAGACAGAGTAGTTCTAGAGCTGGAATAAGCCTGTTGTCTGCTCTTGGGGCAGAAACGAATAAAGTTGGTGTTGACAAAAGAAGAGCACATAAATTTGCAAAATATGATAAAATTTGTACTGCAGTTGATAAAATGCTGGTGGCTATGTTTCTTTAAAAAGTAGAGCATTTAATAGTGAAAAATAAGATGGATTTTACAGTTTAAAAATGACATTCTGTCATAAACTCCTAAAGAAGTTTTTTTCCAGTGAGTACAAAGAGTATGAAGTCATCATCGAAAGCACAAATGTACCAACTAAAAGGACATGTTTTATAGTGGATGGACTGGCATAGAACTTTTTTACTTCAGATGACTTCAAATGTTAGTCATGGGTCCGAGTATTTTTATGCAATGATATGTACGTTTGTAGGTACTTTAGGAGACTAATTTTAACTTTTAGTACTGCATGTATTAATATAATTGTGGGACTGAATTCTAAAGTCTTTATGACTGTTATAATCTGATTGAAAATGGTGTTTGACAGGCAAAATGAAAAATCAGGAGACTTTGTAGTTGACAGAGAAAAGGGAAAAATATTGCACACTTTTATAATTTTTATAAAAATTCTCTCATTCTTATAGAAAACCCCCCCAACCTGTGTGAAAAACCTCCTAGAAAGACTGCTGAGGGAAAGCAGGTCTCAATTTAGAAGTAATGTTTTCCTGTAGAGGTATTAAAAGACTGCTCTCTTTCAAATGTTTTTTTGGTGGTTCTTGTTAAAAGAAAAACGAAGTCAGTGAGAGAAATGTTTTGGAGCTCTCGTACTCTGTTAACATCTCCAGACCTGAAATTCTTGAGAGCTTACAGAGTATGTCCACTGTGTAGATTTCTTCTGTACAGTGAATGCTGTTGTTCTCACCTTGAAAAAAATGGCAAGATGTTTCATTATTTTAACAAAAATAACGTGACATTTTTCTTACTAAAATTAACATATTAAAACAGAGTTACTCAGTGTAACAATGGATATCGATTCTCTTTTTTTATTTTGTGTTTTCTTAAAAACATAGCTGCTGCATTTCGAGCCATAACTAAAGCCAGACATACTTATTTGAAAACAAGATTTTCATTCTTTACGTAAATCTTTGACATCGTACGTGCCTTTTGATTCTGATACTAGCTGGAGGGTAAAATACTGGAAAATACTTAGAAATGCTTCCGATGCTAAAAGTTTTAGTGAAACACATCTTTAGGAATAAGTACATGTTTAAAGAGCTTCCCTATACCTAATTTTGTTCTTTAACATCTTTGGTCCTGTGTGGCTTTTTTCAATTAATTAAACAGCTCAGGGGTTTCCAGAATGTGTATTAATTGATGTTGATGAATTAGTGCAACAGATATTTAATAATGACCTGTTACCACTTTAGCTTGTGCCTATTAATATACTCATTTAAGTGAACCAGTGATGCATATGAAGCCTAGACTTCCAGAAATGTTTAGGGATCTAACTCTAGTAAAAACCACTGCAGGCTGAGCCTTTGGCTCTAGCAAGAGTGAAAAAGCTAAATGCCTGTCACAGTCAAGGGGCTAGTCTCTAAGTTACTTAAGCCTGTTAAAAGCAGACAATCCTGTGATTCTTTTTTGTTGTTGTTGTTATTTCCCCTTCTCCCTCCTTGCCCTGGTATTCCTATTAGCATGTATTATGGATTAGGGTTCCAGTGCAAAGTTGCTTAGTGTGGCGCAGATTATTTTTTTTTTTTGTGGTAGTCTCAAATTGCTACATGATGGAAAAAAAAACCCCGTTGAGTTTCTTTTTGTTTACTACTACCGGGTTTGTTGTAGAAGTTTGACATGTTCTACAAGAATCAAAACTAGGTATGTGCTGTGTTGAATGAGATTATGCAGGTCTAGAAACAATGGCAGTCATAGTCCTTCGAAAAGCAACAATTATTTGTCTAACTTCTTACGTTGTGGATGATACTACGTTACAGTGGATTTAATGTAATGGTGTAGTGTCTTTAAAGCAAGAACCCAAAAGCCCTTTATGTAGTATATTATTAATTTTTTTTTAATGCTGATAAAATTCATAGTTAAGGATTATGATTTTTCATTTTAAAACATTATCACTGTTAAGTGGTCTTTATTGTAGGGAGTTCAGATAACTTATTACAGCTTTTTGAACAAGATCAGCTTTTCTTATTGCTGTGTTCCTTTTAGAATTTCTGTGGCACTAATCACTTTATTTGGGAATGACTTCATAAATATTTTCCCTTTCCTAGTCAAAATGTAGTTGATCCTATAGGGGGAGATGAACAATAGATATTAAGGTGTGTGTTTCTTCTTACACAGAGACCAGAGTTGCTATGATATAATTCCCTTATACAACGCAATGAAGAAGAAAGTGTTGTCTGACTCTGATGAGGTAAGTGGTTGCGTCTTAGACACGGGCATTGCTAGACTGGAAAAGTGGGCCTGATGTCACTGTCCCACTTGATACAAAAGTACTGTGTTCAGTCACTGTAAAGGAGTAAGGAGTACTTTCCATCGTCAATTTCTTCTTGACAGCCAGGAAACTGGTAAAAAAAAAAAAAATAAATAAAACCCCAACTTCCTCTGCTGTAATGCACAGAGCTTAAATGCTTTATTGGAGAAGTCAGGTGATTCTTCAGACTTGAGAGGTTTTCAAAACTGACAATCATATGAAATGCTTTCCAAAGCACAGGGATAGAATTGCAAAGACTCATACTATAAGTGAAGTGTAAAAGGGCTCAGCTTCTCATGTGTATTTATATATTTTTTTAACCTTTTTATGTGACTCATTATCTTGCCCAAAGGAAGAAGAGAAAGATGCAAATATGCCAGGGACTTCCACTAGAAAAAGAAAGGTAAAATAATGTGTTTTTTGTTTGTTTAATGATTTATACCTCTGTAAATATTTTGAAACGCATTTGTAAAGAAGGGGATGTAAAACTGAAAATGTTCTATGATCATACAGTTTCAGCTTTTGAAAGTGTTGACCTTCTAGCGACTGAAGTGTTGTTGTAATGAGCTGTGGAATGTAAAAGTATTTTTGTCTGTACTTTTGCACGTTGCTTGTTAATTAGAATTTATATCCTGCAGTGTACTTTCTTCTTCTCATTCTGTAAAATCAGCTAGGTTTATTTTATGTATACAACAGACAACGTTGTCGTTTCAGGATCATCAGCCGAAGCGGCGGCTACGTAATAGAGCCCAGTCGTATGACATTCAGTCATGGAAGAAGCAATGTCAGGAGTTGTTGAATCTCATTTTTCAGTGCGAAGACTCTGAACCATTTCGACAACCAGTGGATCTCCTTGAATATCCAGTGAGTGTTTTAGAATAGGAATACTAGTTATAATCTCGTCGTTACTTTTGCTAACTGACCGTTTTTCCATTTCTTCTAATTGAAAATTTAGGCAGCTCTCTTAATGACAATTTTGTTAGCAGTTGGCTTGGTTGTCACCTGATAATATTATCATCTTCTTTTTTGAAGTAGTTTCACAATAAACTGTACATGTCTGTTCTCTTAAACATTTTAATTGCAAAATGGTTTTTTATATTAAGGGATGTCTTTGTTCTTGAGTAAATGACAGCTTGTGTAATGAAGATGCGCTTATCTTTCTGCGTGGAAAGCAGTCATGTGCGAAGCAACTATGATGTTTGGTTGTTGCTTGTGACACTTGTTGTCATAGCACATTTTTGTGTTTTTCATCTAAGTAGTAGAACATAAAATTTTCTAACAGTCATCTGGGTTACTGGGGAAAAATTACCCATTTTTTTCTCATGAGTCTGAGTTCACTGAAGAACTGTAGTGAAACATTAACTGAATTAACGATGATTTTTCCCAGTTTCATTTTCCAGTGGATTTCCAGTGGTGATTTCAGTGGAATTCAGATAGCCATGAGAAGCCACTGGAAGCTGCAGAATACTTTAACACAAAAGTCTTGTTGCCTTGGATCTCTTCTAGCCTTCTGCGCTAATTTTACTGTCAATAACAAAGCAAAGTTTTAGTATGCTTTCATTCCAGCATATCTTAAGTTTTCATTTAAAATATCATTCCAAGGTAGATTAACTGACGGGGAAATCACTGACTGAAAAGAAGTGCTTTTTGGCGGAAGTCACTGTTTGATCTGTCTTACCACCTCTTTAGCCATTGGGCATCATAATTTTTGAAGTAACCTGAAGATACTGCCTCAGCCAACTAGAAGTAGCCCCTTGTGTTTTAGGTGCTACAATGAGCTGACGGAAAGCACCTTACTACCCTCGGGGATGAAACAGTCTGCTTGCTAGCTTTCACAATTCTTTTTCACATTCGCAAGCGCTGACTCGCGCATGCAGGTTCCATTTGTTCTGATGGATTAAGTTAACTTCTTGTCAAACAGATACTTGAACTTTTTGTCATATGGATGTTCCTCTGTTTCCTCAGTAGTCTAGAAAAAAGCTCTGTCATTCATTTGAGGGGCCTATTTAAGCCTGTAGTCTTTTCATTTGTTTCAGTATTGCTTTCTTTAATTGCCAGATCTCCATTTGGGAAACCACTCAGGTTTCAGCATAGATGTACTAAGACTGGCAACGAGTTCAAAAGACTACTCAGACTTCCTTTTTTAAAGCTACTATGTGAAAACTGTGTATTAGGCTTAGTACTAAGTTTGAGTTGTTCGACCATCCAGAGGACTTCTCTTTGCATTTTTTAATCCCAGTTGTCTTTATCATGGTGTGTCAGTGGTTTAGCAGCAAGAAAACTGAGCTCTCTATTTCAGTAAATCTGTTTACAAAATCGATTAGCTCTTGTATCAGTTAACTTTTTAAAGTGGCACCTTTTTAAGTATGTCTACCAAGAGTTGCATTGTGTAGGACCAGAAGGAAGCATATTGTCTGTAGTGGTCTTCTGTGCCTATTTGAAGAGGATAGTTTTGTTTAAACCAAAATTTACCAAATGCATCTTTAAAAAAAAAAAAAAAGAAAAGAAAAGAAAGATACATTAGGACTTGACAAAAATTGTAATAGGTTGCTTTGCTATTTTGTAACAGGATTATAGAGATATTATTGACACGCCAATGGATTTTGCTACGGTTAGAGAAACGTTGGAAGCTGGCAACTACGAGTCACCAATGGAGTTATGTAAAGACGTGCGACTTATTTTCAGCAATTCCAAAGCCTACACACCAAGTAAAAGGTCAAGGGTAAGATTTAATTTTTATGGTTTCTGTTTGAAAAAAAAAACGCATCTGAAAAATACAAGAAAGGAAAACAGAGAGATGGTATAATTGATGAGTTTAAAAACAAATTTAATTATATCTGATCTTCAAATATGAATGTTTTTGATAAAGTAGCATAGCTTTGTATTATAAAGAAAAAGAATGTATTCGGTTTAAATGTCTAAAGTTCTGATGCTCTGCAAGTGTACTTTGAAAATAGATCTGAAAGTGGATCTAGAGGGAGAACTACATTGAAGGATTCATCTGTAGAAGTGTGATTGTGGGTACAATAGTGACATTTCACTGATACTTGTGAGAAGAGGTTAGGTTTTTCAAAACACACAACTCATATCCCACACTGAACTCCCATCATTTCTGAAGGTGCACAAAACCAAAATGCCTCAGTCTATTTAAGGTAGACTAGGAGTGGGCAAAGAAATTCTGTGCTGTTGACTGATTCACGAGATTGTGAAGAAGCAGTTTGGATTTCTGAGAAATAGAACTGTTTATATGGAATATGAGCATACAAAGCTGCTGTTAATGAGCTGATACCGAAAGGCCTTGCCAGTGGTACAGTTGCTAACATTTTCTCTCAGATTGACTTGTAGGTTGCAGAACCTGGTGGAAGTCAAAGCTGCAAATATATATATGCTTTATTCATGGTCAAGGCTGCCATGTAGCAGTAAAAGGCCTTTCTTCTGCTGCTGTGGTTTAGGTGTCAGACTAAAATTCACTCTAGTTTTAATGTTTGACTATTCTAAACAGCAAATTGATCATCAGAACTTTAATGTCATATGAGATGCAGGGACATATTCCTTGCTAGAGGAATTTAGCAAGGAAGACTGGTCAGTGATTTGTCTGACTTCAGTGGGTAACTGGCAATACTGTTCAGTGTTTGGACTGCCTAAGAAGCAGTCTCCTGTCTTTTGGCCAGCGTTAAAGGGCAAGGCTTTGGGGGTAATTTGGATTCCTGTGTAGCTTTTCTCCTTTTCTTCTTGATCTCCTCAAATCAAAATAAGAGAGTGCCCGACGTTACGTTAGCTCCAGTGTTGGTTCATCAGTTCTTCTGCCAAAGTTATTGTATTCTTTCTCATGTTATTCCAAATGGACTGATGTGGCAGTAAACCTGTAGCTCTCTTTCATTTTATTTAGAAGCAGAAATGGAAGGTTCTGAGTGTCAGAATTCCAGTATTCCAGAACCTGTGTAATTATAAGTACATAGCTGTTTAATGGCTGTGTTTTCACTCTGACACTTGTCATTTGGTGATGTTTTTAGCATCTTCACCTCACTGATGCTTTTCCTGAAGAGTAAACCCATCGACTTCCTTTTTCTTGGCACATCAAAGTTTATTATTTTTATGGTTTTTATATAATTTCTTACGAAATTTCCTGGGATGTCCTCTTCGGTAATGCATTCGGTTGTTGTCAACATATACGGTTTAGTATGGCACTCAAATAGTATGTCAGGTGTGTCATTAGGTAGGCAGCTGATTGATGTTGTCTGTTTCATATTCTAAAACAGTGCTGTGTCCCCAGTTAAAGCATCTAGACTGTTAGTTTCCATGTTTGTGTGTCCAGAATTAATAGCAGCTGTGCTCCATTAATGAGTGGTGATAAACTGAGTTTGAGCTCTGTAAGTCATCTGAGAGGGGAAAAAAACAAAAAAATTATGCTTACTTAATTCTAATACCTGTGCAACCATTTCACCAGAAGTATTGATTCATCCATAAAAGTAATATGACCGATATTCAAATACAGGGTACATGGATGCAACTTAATGCTGAAGAAAACTAGGTTTCTTGACCATAGGTTTGCCAAAGTAGATTGTGTTACGGATCTCTGCTTGTGGTTCTGCTGAAGCTAGAAAGAAATGCGTTCTGGAAAGGCAGTTGGAAAGTGACAGTAGGAGGGATGACTTTTCAAATCTTTCTTTTCTCCTGCTTGTGGATCTTCAGTCACAATACACTTAAGCAATGAAGACAGATGATGCAAACCTATATACATGGATTATTTTAAGTTCGTGGGGATAGGCTGTAAATTTCCTTAAAACCTTTCCATATTAATAAATATATTTGTCTAGCTATTGTTCAATGCTAAGTAAGTATAATGATGCTTTGGAAGAGTATAAAACTTGCTCATTTACTAGATTTTCTTTTTATAGATCTACAGCATGAGTTTGCGCCTCTCTGCTTTCTTTGAGGAACATATAAGTTCTATTTTGTCAGATTATAAATCTGCCCTACGTTTTCATAAAAGAAATACAATAAAGAAACGAAGGAAGAAAAGAAGTAGAAGCAGCTCAGTTTCCAGTAGTGTTGCATCCAGGTACATGCATTTCTTTACAGTATTCATGAAATACTGTGCAAGTTTGACATACCTAAATATTAGAACTTAGTGTGGTGTTTTTTAATACTGCCTTTACTATTCCCTATATTGCAGAATGATAGATTTGACATGCAAGTCCCTATGATGTGGAAGATTTTTAAACTTTAACTAGAGCTATCCTAGTGTAAGTGCTTAAAATTCAAATAACTGCTAAACATGTACGGTAAAACAGCATCGTTAGGATAGTGGTGGCATCATGCTTTGTCATATAACTATAGCATTTACTGTGATCCTTCACTAAAGATTCACTTTTCAGAGGCTCACAACTACATGAATTTCCACAGTAAATGTCATATTTTTAACATATTTCATACAGAAATGATTGTTTTACTCCCACAATCCTAGACGCTAGCATTTAGTTTTATTTATTCCTGCAAAATAAAAAAGTGGTCACCCAGGTTGCAAATTTTAATTCATTTTGCAGCCCTGAAAGGAAGAGGAGATTGATAAAACCTCAGCTGAAGGCAGATACTTCTGCCTCCTCTTCATCTTCTGCACCTGCAAGATCAACAGCACTGAGGCATGTTGCAGCTCAAATGAATGGAAAAGCAGCTGAAACTTCTTCTCTTGTGCGGACTAGAAGCAATAGGGGGATAACAGATGTGGCTGTTCCAGAGCAACCATCTACTTCTTCAGGAGGAAAGCCTTTAACAATAAAGCCTTTAGTTACAAAGCCTAATACTGTTGCAGGGTCAGGGAAGTCAGGTAAGTTTAAAAAAAAAGCTGAAGAGCATCGTGAGCGTTTTAAGACATAATTCTTGCTTTTTGACCGTCTAACTTACTTGTCTCAATTAAGACTGGTTTTAAGTGCTTAAGCTAGAGGGCCTTGATGTTCATTGGAGGAAAACTGAACAAGTTATGCTATGTTATTTTACCCATGCAGCCTTTTCACTTCTAGATCAATGATTCAAGTGTTATTGCAGTAGAACTTGACTGACTTTCTTTTGAGCCAGATAAGATTGCAAGTGGTGTAAACTGTTTAAAAATGAATTATTCCAGTTTTCTTTTTTGTCTTTCTAGTACTAGAGAATTCAACCAAACATTCCAAGAACCAGAATATTTTATCAGTCCCTGCTCAATCTGATTATGGTCATAACACTAGGAATAATACCACAAGAGAAAATCCTGAAAAAGACAAGCAAATCAAACGCAAAATAAAATCATCCACTGTTAATCAACAAGGTAAGGATTTTTTGGAACGTTTTATCCCCCAATTAGTGACATAGTGGCTGCAGTTGCACCTTAGTCTTGATAATTTGGGGGTGAGGAAATTAGTGTATGTATTATGATTTAACAGACTTAAGAAAGTCTAATGGATAGCTAGTTTTCTACTAGATAATTAGCATGGTTTTGACTCTTAAAACTTTTTAAACCGTTTTCATGGTATAACAACTGTGCCAGTTTTGGCATGTTAACGTATCATGACTTAATTTAGATTATTACAAGTCTGATGTTTTTAGTGTGTTACTAACTACACAGTTGATGACTTCTAAGATTCCAAAGTAGACTTTTGCAGAGTCATGCTTTTAACCCTGCAGGCTTTATCTGGTAACATTCATCTGGTTTATTTGGGTTCGTAACACTGCCTCTTTCTACAACTAAGAGTATAAAGGTCAGAGGATCTCTGAGTGCGACTTGATTCCTCCTTTTTTCTCCATAGCAAGATGGAACTGTGCAGTGTCTACTGCGTCTATTTAGTGTGTTTGTATGGATTGATGGACCTAGTTTCATATAATTTCTGACTAAAATTACTTGCTCTTTCAACATCTGGTTATGTTCAAACTCAAGACTGCTGTGGAGATGGAACTCCCAGCTGCAGAAGCTTTCCTGCGTCTGCAGCAGCTATGAACTTGCTTGATCTACTAAGCATGTGTCTTTTCTGAAGACAGAGAAACCGTAGTCTACAAGTTGGGTCTCACCTGATTAATCCAGTTACCTGGGGTCTGTTATTAGACCACTCTCTGTGGTCTGTCTATCCCTGATGATTATTTCATGTTTCATATTGCTCCTTGCTTCTGAAAAAGCAGCTTGATAACTTACAGTCTGCCCATTCCTTGCAATCTTTCCCACAAGGGCTTCTTGGCAGTTGCTGTATGACATGGCTGAATACGTACCCATTATATGACTGGGTGCTTGGTCATGTCAGAGAGAGCTGATTTTTATTTACGTGATTGTCTCTCTCCAGCACATCTATACAGGAAGGGAGGCCTGTGCTTTTGATGCACAGCGGGGGCACGTTTGAAAGCAACAGGCCTTGTAGAAGGATATTCAGTCAGATGACTGGATGCAGTGTCCTACTGGCTATGTGTCAGTTCCCAGTCATGTGTTAGGTGAGGGCTTTGTCTCAGATCACCTCCATAAGAGGTCATGTGATGTACCCCACTGAGGAGACGGGGAATCATCTAAGAAAAATTCAGTCTAGACAGATCTCCAGGCAAATACTTTCTGCCATTTGTCTGGTAATCTGAGAAATCTCTGCCGATTGCATACTTCTTTTTTTTCCCCTCCCGCATTCCTTTTTCCTCCTTATTGTTGAAATAACCCTGGTTTAATGAACTGGCTATAAAGGATGCTCCACTGGGATGAAGGCATCTTTTTCACGCATCCAGATGCAACCTGCTTTGAAACATTCCAAATTCTTGCAGCAAAGCTTCTTGAGCAACTTCTTGAGCTACTGCAGATACCAAGTGGCAGTTTATGTGCATTGCTGTTCATCAGCCAAGAAAAAGACCTGAGCTGTTTTGTTTTTTTTTTTCATTTTTCAAGCTACTTTGAGCTGAACCCAACTAGAAGCTACTCTTCATTGCGTGCTGACATAACATAAAACTCTTGAGCTCTACTGTGTAGATCTGTTCAATCACAACTGTGATACTCTATGTTGAGGAAAAAATGGGTATTTGAGGTTACAGTGTTGTTCGATATAAACAGTGTGTTAGAATTATATCCTGAAGTTGATAGCCCATGCATCCATCTTCAGGCAGTATTACAGTCTACTGCACTCTCAGAGAAAGAACCGGGTGTCCATAAAAAAGCTGTAGTTGCTTTTGTATAATTGATATGTAGTTGAAGTATAATTAAATGGAAGTAACCTTTCACTTCTCAACAGAAGCAGGAGAAAATGTAAGGGTGACAGTCCCCTCAAGTAGAAGATTATCCCAAATGGTGCTCACTTTCAACATACAGATTTTTGTGATCAAATAGTTTCCAGGATTCCTCATTCCTCATGAACCTCTTACAAATAGAGAGGTTATCTATCTGTCATGTCAAGATACTAAATCCCACAATCCTTGCTGAAGTTTTATTTGTACCTCATCTTTGGGACTCTTTTTGACAATTTGGCAATCACTGTGGATTTGTTGTAATACATTCCACTAATAGAGTTTTATTAAGGTAATGTGAAAATTAATGCAGATGCAAATCTGTTTCAGCATACTTACTCTCATTTCTTAATAGCAGATTGCAAGAACAATGCTGTGGCATCAGGAAGCATTCAGGTAAATGGACATGGAGGGCCACCTTCAAAACCTCCAGTTAAAAGAGGTCCTGGACGGAAACCTAAGGTGGAGACTAATAACAGTAGCTGTGAAGTGGTACACAAGAAAAGAGGCAGAAAACCAAAAAAGCTTCAAGTTGCTGAACAGAAGGTTGCAGAGCAGAGTACAATCCAGACTGCACGGGATATACCAGAAGAAGCATCTGCTTCCACTGCCTGTAATTCTCTTTCTGAAAACAATATGAAGGAAGACTTGTTACAAAAGAAAGGCCGTGGGGGTAGAAAGCCAAAAAGAAAGATGAAGACACATCAGCCAGGCTCGGACCTTTTAGTTCCTGCAAATGTTAAAATGCAAACAAGAAGCAGGAGGAAAAAAATAGATGAGCCTATGGAAGAAGGGTCTGAAGAGCTTAAAGATTCTGAACCTCACATGAGAACTAGAAACCAGGGTAGGAGGACAGCCTTTTACAATGAAGATGACTCTGAGGAAGAGCAAAGGCAGCTATTGTTTGAAGACACCTCTTTAACTTTTGGAACATCTAGCAGAGGCAGAGTCCGAAAGTTGACTGAAAAAGCAAAGGCTAACTTAATTGGTTGGTAATTTTACCACGTGTTTTACTTCAGAATGCTATGAAGCAGGTACAGTTAAGGAACAAGCAGAACACAGACTTCTGCTTCCCTGCTGCTATTATGGGTTAGAAGAATGTGTTCTGATTTGGGGAGAAAAAATTAGCAAAAAATAAACTGAAAGAACATTCTTTGAAAGAAATATATATTTTAAACTTTTGCTATTTATTGCCCTCCAAATAGGTTATGCATTTCAACAGTCGTTTTGTTCATGGTTGAGAATAATTGAAACAATTTCTGACTGACTTACAGAATTGAGAATTACTCTGCTCTTGAGTAGTGCATAGTATCTCTCCACAATTAAAAAAAGGTGATAGAACTTTTAATGCCACAAACTGAGAACAGAAGTCTATTTTTGACCAAGCAAGGTACACTTTTATTGATTGTAAAGTCAAGTCTCCTAGGACGGCAGATTTTGGCAAAAAGTGGCAGTAAATTCACTTACATTTCTGTTAAATATAAACGCAAAAATACCAAACTTTGCTAATCTGAAAATGTTTAATTTCAGTAGTGATGGAACATTCAACTGCAAAAGAAGCCTAGCACAGGCTGTTGGTTTATCCAAGTTCTGCCAAACATAGCAAAAATGTAATCACAAATATATTTATATCCACATTGGAAAAAGTTTGACTAATGTCTAATTTTTCAGACCTTGATTCTTGTATCAATCACTAAATCTCTGTTTATTGTGCCAAAGACTGAGAATCAGTGCAGTGGAAAACCTTTTTTTTCTTTTTGAGTGTCAGTACAGCATTCAGTTTGCAGTGATAAAAGCTGTGTATTGTTTTAAATTGTAAGTTAACATTGTTCTGAAATGTATCCTTTTTGGTACTTACGGTAGAAAATAATGCACTGGTGGGGTCCTTTGACAGAGATGTTTTGGACAAAATATATAATTGGTTAAAGGATTCAAGGAAATTACAGGACAGGTATGGAATTAATGATGTTTACTTTCTGATCCAGATTGATCGTTGTTTCTACAACTTTAGACATGCTTAAGCGGCTAAAAATGACCTGCAAAGAAGAGTGTATGTATATATATTAATATATACATAAACACATACATATAAAATATTACCCAGGTATAAATTCTTTTTTCAGGATTTTTTAGATAGCACTAGAATTGAAAATAAATTTTAAAATGTCATACTTTATAGTTTAATTTTAAGGGGAAGATTGGTTATTTTCAATTATTAAGGTTAAAAAGGCCAAATCACTTTTTATGCAATCATGTTTTATACAGTGGTCTCATTGCACATTGTGTTTTTCTGCACTTTTTATGGTATATCACGCTGACATTAGTCAATATACACCCTAAAGAAAAATTCCATTTAATGATTGTGCCTTGTATTCTATTATTTCTTGCATCCTTAGTAAAATTAAGTTGTCTATTGTAAATGATAACTATATGACTTAGGGGAATGTATTACTATATGTACTGCTATGGAAAAGAAAAGCAGTTATTTATTTGTTTATGGTACATTTAGTTATTTTATACCTTTACAAACAAACTTTAATACCATTTTCTATCACTTAAAAAAAGTATTGTCCAGTTTTAAGGAAAAAGTACAGAAGTAGTAGTATTTTCTGAGATCTGGTATGGTACAAAAATGTAACCAAAATTTTCAGATTATATATTATTTTGGAACTCTGGGTAGTGTGAAAGAACAACTGTGTGACCCTAACTTAGTTGGAAAAATAAACCTGAAATGAAAGCCCAATTCTGCACACCCTTACTTTATAATGATTCTTCTTTTACAAACAACGTCTGCTGCATCTGGAAGGGGGAGGGCTTACAAAATTAAGACCTTAAATTGCACAGATTCTGTTTACTTATTTGGGGCCAAATTGTTCACTCTTTACTTTCTGTTACAAAAAAAGCTTACATGTTTGAGCAAAGAATGTTGACGTTTGGCACCAAGAGGAATAGAAATACGCTAGTGTGGATTGCAAACTGGTATCCACCATACTTGGTTTAATATAGTTCATTGTACATTTTGTTACAAAAATTCAGTTTAGTATTTTCGAGAGCCTCATTGCATTGTTTTGATGATGAATTTGGGGAGCAGGGAGTGGTTTGCGTTTCATTTGTTTGTGTATTTATTTTTTTCTAACAAGCATTTCTTTATTATCCAATTAAAATGGAATCACTAAACATATAGTAAGATGGAAAGCTCTGGTTATACGGTTACAGTACAGCTTCACATTTCAAGGCTAATCAAACTCTTCAATTTTAGGAAATCTCACTGATGAAGGCAATCATTTGAAAATGTGTAATTTCCTGATGTTATCTGCATTGTAATATATGAAATAGATTATATCTAAAATTCAGTTCTTCTGTATTTACTCCATTTGTAGTAATGTTTTATACAGCATGTTTATGTATATATTTATATACTGAAAATACCTTGTATGTAAATTTTGGAGGCTAAAATAATATGCATTCCCTTAAGAGTAGGTAGAAAATCACACATCTTAATTTTACAAGAATAGAAGGCCTTACCTTGCGGAACATGGGTACTGCTTCCCTCCCAGTAATACTGGTGACTATAGTCTGTTATTTTTAAATTCATATTAGACACATGGCTGTTCTTCCTTTAAAATGAATTGTGCATTATTTGGGTCAGATTTTTTTTTATAGACGCAGCACCAAACATTTTAGTAAAAGACCAGATTTATTTGAAAATTACATTTTTCTTTATAATTTAGCTTCACTAGATGGCAAACATTTTATTTATGAGACTTTAGTCACCATCAGGCTGTGAGCATTTTGGTTGGGAAGAATATATTATTTGCAGTTGTGACATACTGTATCAACACAGAAAAAGAGCTTTTGGTTATGATGTTTAAAGGTTTTAAATGTGAGCAATAAACTATTAATGTTTTTAAATAATTTAAGAACTATAGTTACATGCATGTTTTAGATAATGGCATCTCAAGTACGTAACAACTGACGCAGAAAATGGAACATCAAAATCTCATGTGCTTGTTTCACATATGCATTGTAAATATAACATAGGTGTCTTATTCATATGCAATCAAATGATCTTACAGAGCTGGCAGTAAGTAATATTATTCATTAAATTCATTTATGTTCATTTATATTTGACATAGATATGAGGATACTATTCAGAAATTTATGTTCTGTACTGGGAACCATTAAAATTGGTATTTACCGCATTTACCACTGAGTGGTATCTAACAGCAGTGTGTACTCTTAACTGCAGATGAGGAAATAACTTTTTCTTTGATACCAGTGTGTTCTAAATGTTCAACAGAATCATTGTATCTGTGCCTACATATTTAACAGTTCTAATGATTTTGTTTCTGTTGTTAACGTGTTATCCAGAAACTGAACTTAAATTTTACCACTATATTATTGTTCACTATTGTCAATATTGAACTAGAGGTTCATTGTCACTGTGCAATGAACCAGTGATATAACTTTACAGAAAAATGTCTTCCTCCAGTGCTTAGACTGCTGTGATATATATTTGCATATGTTTATTTGTACGGTGTCCAGTTTGTACATGTGTGATCAGTTTGTTGTTAGACTTGTAAGATTGAGTTGGTTGAGTTAAATATTACTATGGCTTAATATTTGTAAAACTGTTAATTGATAAAGGACCCTGATGCAGCACGTTAGAATATATTAGTATCTATAAAAAAATAAATTGTAGTGTAGAGACAACTTATTCATTGTATTACTGTACAAATATTTTTCAAGTATCAATTTTGAGTCTGTGCCAGAGGCTTTTGCCTTACCAAAAAAAAATAAATAAATAAATATATATATATATATATACATACACACACACACACACACACACACAACAAAAAATAGTCCATCCATTTGGTAACTCCAAGCTTGTTAAAATTTTTACACAACATTGTTCAATCTCCTGCTCGCATTTGCTGGATCAAGGACTACAAGTAAAAGCTTTAACATGTAATTCAAATTTAGGCGCACGTTAAATGGTTGACTGGCTCCATAAAAGCAGTAGGCTTAACTGAATGGGACCTTTTCACCCCATGCATACCTATTAGATTAGAGGTTGGAGGTTTTTAACCTCAGTTTCATCAACATTCAGATTTAAGTGGAAGTATGTGAATCTTGCTGAGGTAATTTTAATGTATTGCTGGTCAGTCAAGGTTCAGCCATATCACAGTAATTGCATTGTGTCCCGACTCCTCACCTTACTCTAAGGTAGTATATTCTGTCCGCAGTAGTTTTACTCAAAAAAAAAAAAACAAAAAAAAAAAATTAGTTGAGTGTTTAAAAGGAATTTAAATAGAACTCTAAAAGTGCTGTGATACAGAAGGTTAGAGGGCTTTAAAACCTCACCTGGAAACAGCAAAAGCTCATTTTCTGTTTACTACCTAATGAAGACATTTTACCTGTGTAAATTACTGTATAATTTATTTGGTCTTTTTTTTTCCCTGAAGTTCTTGTAACAGATTGGTTTCGAAGGGGACCTAGATATTCAACTGATAAAAGGGCTGTTAGTTTTCTGCTGTAAATTATTGTATATAAATGCTTGTGTTTATATGCAGAAGAAAGTGTATTTAATCTCATAAAATTGGCCACGACTGACAACGTGTTTCTAATAACAAATCTGGTATTGACAGCTTATATAACTTGCTATTTTTGAATTGGGAATACAGCTTGTACACTTTCTGTCTGGGGTAAAAAACAGGTAGCTTTTAAATTAAAGCTAACCTCTCGGTGCTCTTGCATTTGTGCTAATTTTAATTTGGGCATTTGCCATGTAATTTTACATTGTGTTAGAGGAGGAAACACTCCAGGAAAACTCATTTAAAAGTAATCTTAAATTGCAGAGAAAGGGGATTGGTGTGTGGGTTTTTTTTTTTCTTTTTTCTTTCTTTCTTTTCCAAGGCTATAGCAGCCTCAAGGCACTCTAGAGAGAAACCTTATATGCTGCAATAAAATAAAGGTGAATAAATTTAGCTTTTAGGAGGTAGGTAGTGAGACAAGTAGACCTTTGGATCCTTTTTAATGCAGATAAATACATCAGGAAATTCACTTTAGATAATGCAAACAATACATTTTAGGGGGGGAAGGTAGTAGTACACCATGATTTTCTACCCTGAAAGAACAAAGAACAAGGTCATACATATTGGGAGTATAAAGAAATTTCCTGTAAGTACCTATTGTGTACACATGCCTGTATGATGTACATGTACTATTTTGTGCTCACAACTTTGCATGTCGATTTGCTAATATTGAGACCGTACAGAAGTTACATTTTTGGACCATACTAAAACTGCAAAACCAAGGCAGACAACTGGATAACGATCTTGAGTGAATTAAATTCTGTCATAATGTTTAAATATATATAAAACGGAGCTCAACTTTAAGGAAATGACCTAGAAAGGTTAATTTTTAAACTGACACATTTTCAGATTACAAATTACACTTATTTTGTACAGAATTATGTAAAACACAAATCTGTTGTACGTAATGAGTAACAGTTTTGAAAACTATAATACTTTAGCTTTATCAAGGGTTTGTTTGTTTTTTTTTTTTTTTCCAGAAATCTGGATTATCATGTTATAACCTGAAGTATCTCACCAGGATAACAGTGCCCTTTCTTTTTGTATATATGGATTGAAAATTTCTTTACTGTTATGTGGACACTTTCTATGTTAGTTTTGATGCATAATACTTTGAATCCTTTTATACAAACTAGAATGTATGTGTAAGAATTACTGTCACTGCAATGTAGTAACTACAAACTTATTTTTAAATAAATAGAAAACATGTTTTTCTAAGCTGTCCAACAGTGTTTGTTTCTATCTAGTGAATTACTGCGCTGTGGAAAAATTGCATCTTTATTCTTTAAAAGAGCCTAAAGTCGACTTGTTTTGACTCCTTGTGAAATAATATGGTATTACGTGGTACATTATGTGGCAATATACAAAATCACAGCGAAACCACTCTGAGAGATCAAAACTTGCTATTTTTTAGGCTTGTCCATTAAAAACTGCAGATCTGGAGGCAATGTAAAGGTATTAACACTTGGCAATGAAGGCACGATGTTGCCAGTCCTCTTAGCTCATTTTCATATGTGCAGCAGGGTAACTCTCATCCCCCAAAAAGCCATCCCTGTTTAGGTCACAGCTGTTTGTACCAGAGCAGCAACCGGTATATGTGGAAATCTCTACTTCTCCTCAACTCTAGAAGAAGCTAGAAAGAACTAAGCAATAAAGTCCCTTGCCTCCCTGCATGTAGAATACTGGTCTCCAGTTCAGTAGCCCTGAAAGGCTAACAGACAGAAAACTCTAATATACAGGATGTGTGTTCAAAATACAGAGTGTATTTTTTTGTTTATACTTAACATGTTTCTGTTCTCTGATATGAAAGAAAGGTTTGATATTTCAAATATCACACCGCATACATTGTTTCTTTTCACCTGTTACTATATCAGATGATCCTTTTCTCCTGAAATCACAGTTAAGTGATAGAAGGAACCGTTGCTAACCTAGTAGATACATAGGGATCAGTCCTGCTGAGCAGTGGGACGAGGGAACGGTCGGAGCATAATAAATTGAATGTCCTCTGTAAGGCTTGTGCTGCTCAGACATGTCCATGATAGAGTCTATACAAAAGGAAGACTTGTTTTAGCGTATGAGGAAAAACCTATCCTATCAGGTATCTGTGTGAATCGTAATAATACACTGCTTTGAGAAAAATACTTTTACAATTATGAAAATGCAGCATACTACTTCCATGTTTCTTTTAAGTACCAAAGGTGGTGCTTTTCTTGTATAGACATCTTTAGTGGTACAAAGTTCTAATAATGGTAGTATGCTTCTGCAGTGTGATTTTTTTTTTTTCCCCCCCCTGGGTCCAATGGCTGGTTTTGCTTTTGTTACCATAAATAGTCGAGTTGTTTGTGAATTGTTTTAAAGGTTCTGCTAAGAACACTTGTGATGATTTTACAATGTCTCCAGTCTTTCTACTTAAAAGATCTTTTTTCTATGTAACTGTACAGAATCAATTTTAAAATACGGTCACGTCTCACTTCCCTGTAATGAGTGTAATGGAGAGAAGTTCTCTATCTCCACATACGTGGCAGATGTCTTTCTCAATCCTACTGTGGTTATTTTACTTCTGGGTAGGGATCAAGATTTTATTTAAGATTAGGAGATACTCTGGAACATTGCTGACTGTGCCAGCACCAATACTTCACTACACTGTTGAACCATTTACTCCTGTTAAATCATAAGCCTTATTAAATGAAGGAAATTATGTATGATCATTGAACATGACCATTTTGTTTTCAACATGAGAAAGCTCCTGTAACAAAAAATATTATCTGTTCTTGCTCTGGGCGATCAACTTGAACTTTTCAGAACAGCACATCTGCCATTTTCCTGAGGACAAATGAGCAAAATAGAATGCTTTTAAAAATTAATCAGTGTTTCTGTTTGAAGCATATGTGAAACTAAAGCAAGTGCCAGGAACCTAAAAACTGCAAGCAATGTAGAAGGTGACTGGAATTTAAATAGTATATAATTAACTTATTATTCAGAAAATCAGCATGCAAAAATACTTTTTTTTTTTTACTAATGTGGACAGGAAACTCTAAGCTAAAACTCTCAGGTTGTTTGTTTAGCTCAGCGAGAAGTCTTGTTTGATAGATATCTGTACAATACGCTTAATCTGTTTCATTAGAGCGTAGTAAGGATTTATGCATCCTTTCTGGTGCTTTGAAATCTTTGTGCTAGCTGAAGAAAAGACAGGACAGAGAATTCTGGGATGCTGTTTCTGATCTGATAACATCCCTACACACGTCTTTCATTTTTCCTTTTGTCTCAGAAATGGGGAGATTTTACCTAAACTTGGTTTTATCTACCTCTCATTTTGCTTTAGCTTGTAAGTGCATCAATGAAGAAGCAGTGAACAAGGAAACATGAGGCATGTTTGAATCCTGGAGATACTGAGTTCAAACTAAATACTAGTTAGCATTCAGTACCAGACAGCCTTATCTGCTGATTTGCTCTTTTTTTCAGGTCCCTGAATTTGAGTTTGAACAAGGATATTCAAAATAAGGAAGCTTAGAACTTAAAATGTGAAGCTAGTTTAGAATATGACTAAAAACACTAGAAAGAATTAGATACTTTTCTTGTTTTGCACTAGGTAGTAGAAAAACCAAGTGGCACTACTTTTTCTAGCACCCTAACTCAAAATTTGATTATCTTCCGTACTGGGGGAGGGAGGGAGGGTTGTCTTCCAATGCAAGGTGCCATGAACGGCTTAAAGAAAAGGAAAAAAACTCCACAGGCAAAACTTCCCTTTCACCAAGGTTTTATGTTAATGATATTTACACAACAAAATTACTTAAAACAGTAGAATTCTTTAATTTATGATCATGCCAGCAACTTGCATTACAGTGCATGTGTTTAGCCAAACAAAATTTTGATGTTAATATGGGTGCATGTGTCTATGTACTATTGTCCTTCACTAACAGCAATTAATCCTAATGCAGAAGAATATTTGGAAGGATTAAAAATCGACTACACATTTTTTTTTTCCTGTTTAATGGTTCTAAAGTGTTTGAGGGTGTCAAACGTGTGTTAATATTAAACAAACTGTCCTGAATAGCTTAAGCGGTAAAGGAAAGGAGAGAATTTATTGAGGAAAACGATTAGAAGATTCATACAGTCTTCCTCTTAAGAAAGCTAGATCCTTGGAAATTATATCTTATCGACAAAATTTGTTCCTATCTGCTAATTCATCAAATTTCCTTTTGGTTTTGAAAATGTTCCAAGAAAAATGCTTCAGCCTGTGTAGCAGTGTATCTAACCTTTAACAAAACTTTAGATTTGTATAAAACTTCTTGTGAGCTTTGGTTCTGAGGTTTATACCTCTTTGGGTGCCTCTGACTGCCCTGTTAAACCTCTTCTCTCTTTCTCAGATGACTGTTACTGCCAGGGTAAGGCTCATGGCTACAAGGCTGACAGAAATGCAGTTCACAGAGTAGCATCCTCATCCATGTTTCACACATCTGTGTAAAATCCCAGTTTCAATCTATGCATGTAATGTGATCGTATCAATGTTATGGAGAACACTGTCTTCACCAAAGAGGCAGTTTTGAATCTTTACAGGGTAGACAGCAGTTCTGCTTTCTACAGCTTCGCAATTGCTAGTTGCTTCACACAGCTCTGTGAAACTATGCCTGTCTTGTATCAAGTGAGAGAAATTTAGTACTTCTGGATGTCTGGAAGTTCTTGCTTCTGCATGGAGAAAAAGAATGGCAGAAACCTAGAAATTTTACATATGCAAGAAAACTTCTGCAAATATACCTGTGATCTTCCGCTGACCCTCAGATCACCCCAAATGGATGGTGGCACTTGAAATTCTGATGATGCAAAGACCTCTGACTTAATGCTATCAAAATGAAAAATACAAAGATGTAGGACGGTCAGAGAAATATTTTAGTACTTAAGATTGTACAAGAATGAAGGGAAAGCAAATTGCTTTTGTGCTAACATATTCAAATGCATATACACCATTCTTATTTTTACACTTTGATTGTAAACTCTTCGGAGTGGGAACTCTTGTCTTTCAGGTCTGTATGACCTCTGACGCAACAGGATGGTGTAGTCTAGAACTTAAATCCTGGCTGAACTCTGGTTTAAAAGAGAAAAAAAAAAAAAGATGGTTGCTGTAGGATGAGCAAAAAAAGTAAAGAAAGCATTTTTGCAGGCGCTGTAAGATTGTGCTATGAGCTGAAGGGTGCAAACAGTATGGCCATGATACCTGGAAAAAGAGATGAAGATCAGACCCTTGACTGTGTTGAAATGTTGAAATTATGATGAAAGCCTCAAAAGTTGCTGGGGGGAGGGGAGGGCGGGGAGGCTATCTGGGAGCCAGGCAGGGCACTAGGAAGCTGCTTTGAGCAGACTTGCTTGCTCATAAGGAGGCTTCTCTCAGAGAAGGCAACTTAAGCCTATGGACATTAATGAAGAGTAATAAGAGGATGAACAGAAAAGGAAGGAGGCTTTGGTCACCGTTCTATTCTTGCCTCTCTTTGACCATTATTCTAACCTTTTACACCAAAGCTGATAAGGTTTTGTTGTCTTCTGCTGTCTGGGACTCAGGCATTAGCAGGTAGCAGGCATTAGATCATATCCCAGTGTATTCAGCATTACTTACCATAGGCGTATCAGCATCATCTCAAACTCAGTGTTGATGCTCTGGCTTGAGCGGCTTCTAGTCCTGTCATGAGAAGCCTCTTCCTTAGGCAATGATCCTGTTGTGATTCTGTGCAGGGAACTGGGAATAACAAACACTAACTTTTTTCCCTCTTAGCTGTCATATTACAGAAAACATCCATCTGTAGCTCCTAGAAAGGAGGAGGTTTGTCAGACCTATTGCTAAGCAAAAGTTGGATATGTTTGATGCAAAAGCTAATATGCAGCAGAAGCCATTAATTAAAAATAGATCTAATTCTGATAGTGATAAGGATGAAACACTTTTTCTCTATAAACTTCAGTTTTCAAGTTGCTAATAAACGTTACAGTAATATGATTAAGTTTATTTGCACATTCATATTAAGGCACATTTATATAAAAGTTAATGAATCTTTAATCCATTACTAAGCCAAACTGTTACTACCAGGACTTCCTTTAGCCAAAGAGTCCACCTCCCTTTTTCAAAAGCTTTTTTTTTTTTTTAAATGTATATGTTAATGTGTCTTCAATATGAAGTGTGACTGTGTGTCATTTTAGCTATTTGGAACATGAGAAAAGTATCTGCTATCTGTGCATTTAGTCTGAAGTTCCCTTCACACATCAAGAAATTTTTGGAATTTTTCTTTCTGGTATTCTAATAAATCAAAAAGCTTTATGAATTAAATTTATGAATTCCTCCTATCAAAAATTTCTCTTTCTTAAAGAGACTGTAGTGCAGTGGTGTTGCCGCTGGTTCTATCAAAGTCCAAGACTTTGTTTCCAGGAGCACAGTTACCAGATTAGGAACCACAAATATCAGTAGAACAAGTTCGAGGTAAGGCTACGGGACACAATCTTTTCGTGATTGTTTCTTATGCCCCCCTGAAACTGATTGTCTGAGCAGAGACTGAAGCTGCCCTCACTTCTGGAGAAATTCCAGCCCTGCCTTTGCGTTCTTCTGTTGAAGAATGAGACAACTCAGTTTGAGTCTGCTCATGCTGGGAACAGCTCCCCGATGCCTTCCTCTCCTACCAGGGTGGGTTTTTTGTCTGTGTGACTCCATTTGGGGGAGAAAGTCTGTTTAATTAGTCACAAAACATCTGATAGTGGCATGCGCTGCTTGGTGCAAATATATCTGGTTAAGTTTGTGTGAAATTCACTTGCACAGAATTTTAAAGTTCTTCATGGACATGGTGACAGTGAAAACCCTGGGCTTGGAAAATGTTCAGCATTTATCTTTGGGATGATCTTCCAATATATACTGCACTATGCAGTCTTCTCTACCTTGGATTTGCAGGAGAGACCACTGACTGGGATAACGGGAGACAGTAGTATTCAGGGCCGTGGCAGCTCTCAGAGGTGTTGTCTGAGTTGCCAGTTAGCGAGAGGCAGAGCTGGTAAGGACTCTGTGCTCAAGACTTGAAGACTCGAGCCATTTTGCATTGGCTCCTCTGTGGTGAAACAGGTTACTCCCCTCCCAAATGCCTGATCTAATCACACAGTTCAAATCAGGCTGCCTCTTTGCATGTGCTCATTCTGGCTATCACTTTCACATGCCCGTCTGCACAGTGGCCCAGCTACAACAGGAAAGTTGGGCCACTCTGCCACACTAACGCCCTGCTGGTAAGAAGGGAAGCCCTACTATGTTCTGCAGGAACCCAATGCAGTCAGATCATGAACTTCCTTTTAGTCAGACCAATACCAAGGCCTCGCAACGCTCCAGTGAATGAAGTGGCGTTTGGCCTCGTCTACACACTTCTGAGTCACAACAGAGCACAGGTGGTTGGTTTCTGTCTGGCTCTTACACCATAAGCCTCTGCTCAAGCACTTGGGGAACCACCTGCTTCAAAAAAGAAGCATCTCACAGTTTCTACTAATTGACTTGCTATTTCTGGAATGTCCCTTAATGTTTCAGAGTAAGTTGCTTAAATCACTTACTTTCAGCCTCCCTGAGTTTGGATTAGGTGGATTCCTAATGCTGCCCTCAAGGTTTTGCCCAAGGGAGCTGTTAGGTCTCTCTGGTTCCTGCAGCCTGGGCTGGAGAGACGCATGCACAGCCATGATGGCCCTGAAGAATCTACTTGCCTTAAGGCCATGTCGGGCAAAAAAGGAAATGGTTGTGGACCACAAAGCCTCTAGAAAAGTCTGCATCCTTTGCATACCTTAGGATGACAGAGATCCACTTCTATTGTGAGCACTTCTGTCTGCTTCCAAGGCTCATTTTTCTAAGTGCTCAAAATTCCAACTTGGACACCACAGATATGCAGGTGTCTTACTGAGATTTAAAATTGGGGCTGAGTTCTAAATTTCAGCTAAAATTTGTTAAGATGCAAACCCTAGAAGGGAGGACACAGAGGATGCAGAAGTATTTTTGTCTTAAGGTTGACAGATGACCGGATGGGATCAAAGCAATTATAGCGTTGGCCGCATCTCAGAATAGTCTCAAGTCACTTGGAAAT